CTTGTCTTCTGATCGTCTTGTCTCTTCCTCTGCAGCGTGCCGGTGTGATGCTGAGGGAACTCTTTCAGATGTTTGCGACAAGCAGACAGGGGCCTGTTTGTGCCGGCCGGGAATCACCGGGGCTCGCTGTGACTCCTGCAGTCGAGGGCACTGTGACTCCTTCCCTGCCTGCGAGACATGTCCCTCCTGCTTCTTCACCCTGGACGCCCAGAGACAGAACCTCAGCTTAGCTCTGGAGAGACTGTCTACCAGCGTCCCTTCTCGTCCTGGAGGTGATGGTGATCTTGGAAACTTCGGGCCCCGCATCCGCGCCCTTGAGGCCAGCCTGAACCTGATCCGGGACTCCATCACCCTTCCACTCAGTACTGCCAGACAGATTGATGACGCTCTGTCCCAACTTGACAAGCTGAGGTGGGGGACTGCTGAGATAGTCAGAGGAGATCTTTGTTTTAATGGTTTTGATATCATCTCTTTATAAAGCTTACTCTGTCATGTCTTCACCTTATTCTCACTCTTGGATGAAAGCTCACTGATGCCCAGTTGAACAACTCCTGTTTTGTTTTACAGGGACCAGGTGGACATGGTTAACAATGACCTTTCACCCCTGAAGAAAACCCCTGGTCTGGACTCAGAGCTGGACAAACTGCAAGCTCTGCTGCTCAGCCTCACTGTGCAGTACAACGCCAAGAAAGACGCAACGGAGAACTCTGGCAATGCAGGTCAGAGACAAAGATATACCAGTCACCGCTATAGTCATTGATCATTGATTGCAGATTTAAATTTGACGCATACTTATATCGGTTTGAACAGAATGTCTGACTAAACCATCTCCACCATTTTTGTTTCTCACTTTCTGATATGGTAGCAGCATAAAATGAACTCATGTTGAGTGTTTTTGTCTTATTCAGAAGGATTTTCTGCCATCAAGAAAGCCTATGATGAGTCTACAGATGCGGCAAAGAAAGTGGATGACAGTGGAAACACAGTGAAGGAGTCAGCCAATGCTAGAGAAAAGACTATAAACCTTCAAAATGAAGTACAGCAGCCAACACCAGAGATCTGGACAAACTGAACCAGAGCATGGCCTCCCGACCTGACCTCACTCCTGCTGCCAAACAGGTAACTACCAGGCCTCATTTCATTAACGTGATGCTGTGACGTTTCATTTAGCAGGGAGAAAGATCACAGTGTGTTTGGTGGGATGATGAAAATGAATTTGGTGTAAATCTAACACATGAACACAGGAAGAAGCTGAAGCATTTTTTAAATCTTGAGCCAGCATGTCTTCAACTTCCAAATCAATTTCTTTTCAGGTTGTTTATATATTTACATCTTTGCATTCATCTGCACCACCTTTTGTTTTCCTTCTCCTTGGAAAATGCAAGTTGTTCAAATGTCAATTTATCTCCTGAAGGTGGCGCTAGAGGAAAGGCCATTGGGGCATAAACTCAAAAAGGGTGTATGCCTTTCAGAGCATGAATATGATCCAGAATGTTCCTTATCCCTTTTTGTTCTAAAGGGATTAATCATGAGGGAAGCCTAGATAAACTCAGTCATTTTCATGGAAATCTGCCTGTTCGATTATTTAGATTGCTTGTGTGTGTTCCAAAAGTGAGTCTAATGGCTATTTTTGTTAAATCGGGCCACAGCTCCCGTATCTGCCCTTGAAATCCACATCAATCTGTTACTTTTCAGGTGTGTGGCAGTGTTCGTACAGAGCCCTGCACCCCTCTCCAGTGTGACGGCGGAGAGTTGTGTCCACCAAAGGGAACCCCACCTTGTAAAAAGGGGGAAAAGTGTGTGGGTGCCCTGCCTCTGAGCAAGAGGGCTGACGCTGATGCTAAGGATGTGAAAGAGCGACTGGATAAGCTCACTGGGAAGATCACAGAGGCTGCAGAGAAGGTATACACATTTCACTTCTGATAGCTCCACCGGCACATCTCTGTAACTCTACTACAAAAGCATGAGCAATTTTAGATTTTTATGTAGGATAATTTAGATAATTCTCCAGTTGTTAAAACAGTATACAGATTCTAAAGTTATTTTCAATTCCTTACAGCTCCAGAAAACACAGGAGACAACCAATCAGGTGAGACAGTCTGCAGAGAAACTGTCCAATAAGATGAAGCAGACCAGAGACGAGCTGGAAGAGGACCTAAAAGAGGCGCGTGACGTTGTAAAAGAGCTCAAAGATTTCCTGTCAGGTAAAGATTGTTTTAGTGCCGAGGGTAGATGGAGGAGTGGACTGATATGCGGAAGGAAGGTCCACTTGGTTTCTGTAATAATGATTTTGAAGGTGATGCTAAGGTCAGTCACTCATTTGCCATTTTGCCTCCAACTGTTCTGTCTGCACAGACCCGTCCTCCAACCTGACCCACATCCAGGAGGTGAGCGACTGGATCCTGAAAGCCAAACTGCCTCCCAACCTGGCTGCTCTGAAGAGGAAGCTGGAGGAGCTGAAGAATCTGGCGGCTAATCTCCCAGACAGCACGGCTGTGTTGAACAAGGCTGAGCCGCAGCTTGTCAAAGCCAGGAAACTGCTGCAGGAAGCCCAGGACGCCAGGTGGGCATACACACTCCAGGACCAGACTACTGCTACTGATACATGCTTATGGCAATAATAGTGTTTTATTAATCCCAGGATGGATATTAAAACACTTAATAAAAGCATGGACATAGTAGAACACATAGAGTAGAACACTGAATGCTGTTTTTATCAAGATCCTGCATTTTTTTCTTGCACCCATTTTTCACAGTTTCTTGGCTTTTCTTGGAATTGTACTTACTAGATTCACAAAATCCACATTTTTACAACAAGGCCTTGTGCATAGAATCTAGAAAGATCCTTTCTCTGATTGCACATTCACAGGGACACTGCACTGGGCGTAAAGGCCGACGTGGACGGGTTGCTGACAGGCTTCGGCACGGCGGAGGGCTTACTCTCTGACCTGGAGGACAAGCTGCAGAACAGCATGGATCTCATAGACAACTTGAACTACAACCTAACTGAGGTAGGCAGCATGGATACATCAAACAACGGATGACATGGTATTGTGGTATAATTTATTCCAATAAAAGCTGCTTGGCAAGAGTTTTAGAGTGGTTCACTTTACGCAGGCCAAAAACCAGCTGAGCCCAGCAGAGAAGGCTCTTGATGATGTCTCGACACTGATAAAGCCAATGAAACCTCAACTGGACGAGCTCAAAGACCTGCTGGAGAATGGAGACCAGCAGGCCCAGGATGCACAGGAAGATGCAGACAAAGCTGAGGATGAAGCAGCTGCTGCAAACGAGGTGAGAGTGTAGCTATTTTATTTTGAAAAATGTATATTTACTTTAACAATCTTCAGTGTCTTAAACTGAAGAGATGCGGGGGTGGGGGGTTGCCAGAAGAACTTAGTCAACACTTCTGAATCTAGTATTAATATACTAGAACACTGAAAATAAGCTGAAGCATTTCATTGGCGAGGTATGTTTATAATTGTAAGGAAAGGTAAGTCATGGCCCTTTTGCAGTGCATTTCATTTGCAAATGTCTGCATATAGGGTAAGTCAACGGCACGTCTTCATAAATGTACCAATACAAGTATGTGTGTGTGTGTGTGTTTGCAGGACCTGTTGTCTTTAAAGAAGCAGCTGGATCGTCTTAAAGACGAGGCCGCAGCCGGTGGGTCCGATAATGAAGCTGGGCCCGTGGAGGATCGACTGGCGAAGCTGCAGCAGGATGCTGTAGCCCTGGTCAACACCACTGACAACATGATGAATGCTTTGGAAGGTAATAAATCAAAAACACAAAACCACAATTCTGTAAAAACATTTTTTTTAATTAATGTCAGTTACTGTCTTAAAAAAAAAGTCCTTGAATCCTCCGGGGGAAAGAAGATGTTCAATCTTAGAACTTTAAGAACAACTTCTAGGTGTGAACCTGAGATGCTTAATAAAACAGCTAATCTTTTCCTCTCTGCTTCTGACTTGACAATTGCCTACTGCCTCAGAGGTTAAAAGTAGGCACAATCCGCATCATGTGTAAAATCCAGTTGTAGATGTGTCTAAATTGACTCAGGTCGCCCAGAACTCTCTGAAAAGTGACCTTTGTGTCATCAGTTGGAGCTCTGGTCCTGTGAGGAGATTTGGAGTGTTATTTATCAGATCCCAGGTCACTTCCAGTCCTCTTATCTTTTTCCAGGAAAGGCAGATTCCCTCAGGGGGCTGCAGGACGAGGTCCTTCAAAAGTCAACACAGCTTGAAGGACTTGATGCTAAGCTGAAAGACCTTTTGGCAGCACTTCGAAAGAAAGCCCTCGACCTCAGCACCTGCCAGGGCTGAAAGCCACCCAGCTGCCCTCTGAGCAGCTTCTGCTGCTGCTGTCTCTACAACTCATGTCTACACCATTCACACCTTCAACTGGCCAAAAAGTTTTCAGTTTGGAGAATTCCTCCCTAACTCTGGAATTTTGCAATAACAAGAACATTGATCCTCTACAATTGTGGGAATTGTTCAAAATCCTTATCTGGGGTTGAATGAGATAAGATGTAAATGACTGCTCGTCACTGTAAATAACTTCAAAGTGTAGTGATAAGCAACATTGTCAATATAGGGGGGTGCACTATTTAATTATCAGAAATCCACATTGTGCGTAAAAACCTTTTGAAAGCACCAATAGTATCACATTATATAGGCACATATCACTATTTAAAAATGTTATATATTTTATATATCAAAACATTGTGATATTGTGAGTTTGTCTTTATAATTGTCATCATTTAGCATCTAGAAAAAGGCCACAGCCAACACAAACCATATTTATCAGCACAATACACTCCACTGTGAACACTGCATCACAATTATTGTATTTGTCCGAACTGGAGATGGGATGAATGTTACATTATTTATTTGTCTGTTTTTCATCTGCTGAATCCACAGTATTTAAATGAAAGCCTGTTGATACTTCAATTTAAGTCTTAAAGCTTCATGAGAGAGGCCAACATGGTACTGCAGCTATTCATTCGACACAGGAAAAAGCATGTTTATTGAGAATACAAAAAACACTTATGTCTCTACATTTGTGAATTCAGAATCATCCATGACATCATTAGTGTTGACAGCATATTTACATCACCTTGTGGCACTTGATAAATTCACTTGTTTAACAAGACAGCAGTATTTGCACTTAATGACTGTGTTTCAAAGACTCTACCTGAAAATAAAGTTTAATCTCATAAATATAAAGAACATTTTCCATTCATCTCTTTGGGTACAGTGGAAGTTGGACTTGTAATCCATCCATGTAATCCAGCATACATCAAAAATGTTATAGTGTGAACACTGAAGATAAGTTAAGTATCTTAATAAAGATATTCAGAGCATACAAGTGACAAGACTCTGAAGTCTGAAAAAGCTTTTCAGCTTTGTAAAAACTTCAAAACAAATCAGAAATGAGCTTTTACACTGCATAGGTCAGCTAAATCTATTCAAAACCAATTCATTTTAATGGTATTGAGTAATATGTAGAGTAATATACAATGATAATAACAGTTTTGAGAAAATAAATGTCAACAGCATGTATAATTTTATAAATGATGAATACAAGGTACAAGGTTGATTTATTTGTCACAGGTTGTAGAGTGAAACTGACTTTGAATTCCTGCTTGTGTCTGCTTTAATGTGGTGTTCACTGCGTAAAGTTATTCCGTGATAGAGTGTCTTTTACAGTATAGATGCAGTCCCGGTCGATGGAGCATGTTCTCCGCAACAGTGACATGAAAAAGCTGAGCAACAGAAGTATCAACGCCTTCATTCTGAGACGGATGACGCTCAACTCAACTGCCGTCAACTCAAAAGACAAACTAAAAGAAGACAAAAATGTGTTATTAATTACAGGCTGGTTTGAGTCAGTCATTTGTTTAGTTGACATCAAAATTCTGATTGAGAGAGATGACTCTACCTGCGTGAGATTTATCTCAGGCTAGCAGCCAATCACATGACAGAACACACTCCGGACTGAAGCGGCTGGTCCTTCCTCTGAGCCACAGCTTCCATGCTGCAACACATCACACAAACAAGATTCATTAGAATAATTCAATGATGAAGACAAATGATGACTCTCCCTGGGTGTGGTATTTCTTATCCACATGGAAAAAACTGGATCTTCTGCAAATGGTGACATAATTTTCCAAGAGAACTGATTGGTCAGTAGGCGGTGCTTTTATAGAGTTGATCTCTTATCTCGAACAACCTGCTCCAGCGCAGGTTAGTCGTTTAGCATAAGTTACTGAAGTACCCCGGTAAGAAGTGAACCACCGTCGTAGGAGTGAAAACCCAGGGTTAAACCTGAATTTACCTCGCTAACCTAAAATCCTGCATCGTAGTACAGGCCTCAGGTGAGTTTTAATTTGTCCATGTACTCGAAAGACAACGTACATATATTGTGTGTTGACAAGTTATGTAAAGTTACTGTCAAGTCTTTCTTTTGGCTAGAATTGTATTTTAATCAGCGCTAATCTGCCATGGAGAAATTAAAACTCACAAGGAATTAAACATGAGTGCTTTGAGCCCTATTCAGAAAATGGGCTAGTGCTGCACTTCAGAATTTCCAAAATGAGTACTACTACAACAAACACAAAGATTCTGACAAAAAACATATTTTAGCCTGCCAAAACATTTCCCCCCATTTCCACGGATGAAAAAAAAACTAATTTATTTAACAAATTTTTTTTCACCTGTTTTTAAGGCATTAACACAGGAGAGAACAATTTAGCTCAGACTGGAAAATTAATCACCAGAAATTTTACTATATTTACTATATTACAACTCACACTGTAGGTATATTATCCACTGCACTTAATGAAAAATACTCTTAGAATATTTCTTGAAAAGGTTTCAGAACCAATAGCTATTCAATCTTGCTTGACAAATTATCCATATAACCAAAACACAGTGTTGGCATATTTTTGGCAGAAAATATTAATCTCATGATTTTAATTTTCAATATTGCACTTGAACATTTTTCTTATTTTTCTGGTAAATGTGACATGACCAATTTTCTAGCATCTCAAACAGGGCAGTGGCTCTCACCTCTTGGATGGCCTGAACGGAGCGTCGATTTCTGAATGAAAGTTATTGATTTCTCCAACAGTGAGGGCTTTGCCAGGCCCACTGTGACTGGCTCTCAGTGGTGGACAGAGACTTTTGTCCGACTCAGGATTACTGCAGGGTAGATGATTAGCAGCATGAACGGGATTTCCGTTTGGGTCGAGGTCATCAGCCTCATTGTGGCAGGGTCCCAGCATCTCCAGATCATTCTGGGAGGAGGAATGTACTATGATGTGGGGCATGGAGAGGGAGGAGTGGGACGGCTCACTCTGGGACAACTGCAGTTTCGTCATGTGGTGAACTACTGAGGCTGCGTTGAAGGCTTGCTGTTGGAAATGGGCACACAAAGCAGGCACGTGATTGGCAAAGGACAAAAATCATGAAAATGCACAGAGCGCAGAGCATGGTGCAGCGGCATGGAGATGTTTCCCTGTTTAAATGTTTATTTTTATAATGTTAGTTCTAAATCTATTAATCTGTTAACTCACACCAGTTTAGCTATAACTTGAGTCTAGCTGGTGTGGTTGCTATAGTGACAGTGTTAGTGCATGTCAACTTGAAATGTTAATGAGAATTGATATTGTAATTTTATAGTTTGAAATTGGTTCTAGTAACGAAATATGGGTTTTCTGGTTACCTAGTTGAAGCTCACTGCTTATTTTCTAATTGATTTTTTGTTATGCTAGCTAGGCGGTCAACTCAGCATTCTAACACTAATCCATTTTCTCAAAGACGAAAGTCATTAAGATCTTAGGTAAGCAATCTCAGAACATTGAACAGGATTAACACAGAATTAACTCTGGTCATGTCCATTCATTCATTCCTTTTGGTCGGACGTCCTGACCACTCTATCCCTCGTGCTTGGCCTCAGCGTCCCTGACAGCCCCTTAGTTGCTTTGTTAGGTGATTTGTCTTCAATTCATATTTCACTCAGACACAAACCTTTCCTTTTTGTATCCTTAACACTTGCTAAAAAGGTCATCCTTTTAAACTGGAAAGATAGAACAAAATATCAATTCAACACTGGTTCAAACTTCTCACTGAACATTCGACACTGGAAAAACTCACAGCAACAATAATGACTAATCATTCATGCAGCACACCTGGACACACCACCAGTCACTGAACAGATCTCTGCCTCACTGCCACAAACAACTGTCTCCACCTGCTGGCATGTAAAGCCGTCTGCTCCCAGCGCTGTTCCACAGACTTCTATTCCTGTCATCATCATGCATAGACCAGTAAACCGAAATGTGCACATCCCACACAGAAATCATAGTAATCTCTTAAGGATTAGGACAACTGCACCAACTCCAGCACCCAGAACAAACTCATTTAAAATGGCTGTCTTCAATGTGAGATCACTTTCAAGTAAGACTTTTATCTTAAATGATTTTATCTTGTCTGCAAATCTAGATTTTATGTTTTTAACTGAATCCTGGTTGCAAATGAATGACTATAGGCAGCTAGCTGAACTGTGTCCGCCTCAATATGATTGCTTTAGTCAACCGAGGGTCAGTGGTCGTGGTGGTGGGCTAGTGAGCGTGTATAGGAAAAATTTTAAATGTCATCAAGTACGCTGTGATGAATTTAGCTCCTTTGAAGTTCTCACTCTTAAAGTTGGAGGGCGGCAACCTATCATATTTGTTATAATTTATCGCCCCCCAAAACCGCTTGGAGGATTATTATCAGAACTTCCTGAATTTTTATCTACTCTGGTTTTAAATTATGACAGAATTGTTCTTTGTGGCGATTTTAATATTCATGTTGATGACCCAAACAATGTTAAAGCAACTGACTTTTTAAATATGGCCACTTCTTTTAACTTCAAACAACATGTCAAAGGGCAAACACATAACCGTGGTCATACACTGGACTTGGTTTTTACCCTGGGTGACAGCATTTCCTCTGTGGAATTAGTGGACATGACCATATCTGACCACAGATGTATTGTTTTTAGCTGCGATTTGCCTGTTACTCATGCCGCCTCACCAAGCTCCGTGTGTTGTCGCATCTTTAATGAACAAAGTGTTTCAAAGTTTTGCGCATTCTTTCAGAGCCAAAGCCAACACCTGTCTGATTCCAACACCAACAATCTGGTTGATCACTTCAATCATATCTGCTTGTCGTCACTAAATATTACTGCTCCTCTAAAGGTTAGGCCTACGTCTAAAGCTAGTAAACAACCCTGGATAAATGACAGCATTCGCAGCCTAAAAAGGGAATGCAGGAAAGCAGAGCGCAGATGGAAAAAATCCAATCTCCAAGTCCATTACCTCAGTCTGAAGGATTTATTAATTAAATACAATAACATGGTTAAGGATGCGAGAACACACTATTTTTCTGAACTCATTACTACACATAAACACAATCCCAGGTTTCTGTTTAAGACTGTGGATCAGCTGGTAAACCCAACCCCTCCTTGTGCCTCAGCTGGAAGTAATGATGACTGTGAATTGTTTTTATCTTATTTTACATATAAGGTGGTGTCAATCAGAGCCTCTATTACCCCCGTGGCCTCTTACTCAGAGGTCCCTCACCAGCAACAACAGAGTTTTAACCAGTTTTATCCCATCGACTTGTCTGAGCTTTTAAAAACAATATCACAAATGAGAGTGTCCTCCGGCCCACTTGATATAATACCTACAAAATTTTTACTAAAGGTAATAGACTCTGTTGGGCCCCATTTGATCTCTGTTTTCAACAGCTCCCTATCTACTGGTTGTGTCCCTGATTATTTTAAAACGGCTTGCGTGAACCCACTTTTAAAGAAACCTGGTTTAGATCCCTCCCTCCCACATAATTTTAGACCAATTTCAAAACTGCCTTTTACTGCAAAGATTCTAGAAAGAATTGTGTCCAAACAGCTGCTCACTGTGCTGGAAAATAACAAATTATTTGAAAAGTTTCAGTCTGGTTTTAGGAAGTACCACAGCACTGAGACTGCCCTGCTTAAAGTCACCAATGACCTTTTAATGTCTGCTGATGAAGGTATGTGCTCAGTCCTTGTACTCCTGGACCTTAGCGCTGCGTTTGACACCATTGATCACAACATCATGTTAGACAGACTGAGGCACTGGGTGGGGATCTCTGGTACTGCCCTAGAATGGTTTTCATCCTACCTGTCAAATAGGAAGTTTTGCGTGTCTGTAAACAACTATGTCTCTTCATTCTGTCCAGTTAAATATGGTGTGCCTCAGGGGTCGGTCTTAGGACCCATTTTGTTTTCCTTGTATCTGCTTCCCCTTGGACATATTATCCATAAACATGGCATTTCTTTTCATATTTATGCTGATGACACACAAATATACTTGCCCGTCAGATCCACAGACCCTGGAATGCTGAGTTCACTTAACAACTGCCTTTGTGAAGTTAAAAAATGGATGTCAAATAATTTCCTCCAGCTGAACTCAGACAAAAAAGAAATCCTGGTCATCGGGTCTCAGCAGATGGCAAATCAAATACTGCCATCTGCTGGTTCCCTAGTAAATCACATTAAGCCTGTGGCAAAGAACCTTGGTGTTTGGTTTGATAGTAATTTAAATTTCGAGCAGCACACCACAAAGCTTGTTCAATCATGTTTTTATCAACTTAGAAATATAGCTAAAATTCGATCTATGTTAACTTTTAAGGACACCGAGACCATTTTACACGCCTTCATCTCATCACGCCTGGATTATTGCAACAGCCTTTTCACCTGTTTAACCCAAAAATCTATTGATCGACTCCAGACTGTCCAGAACTCAGCTGCCAGGCTTTTAACCAGAACAAAGAAATATGACCACATTACTCTTCATGGCCTCTCGCCTTGTTATATTTCTGACCTTTTAGTCCCATACGCACCAGCACGTACCTTGAGATCCTCGGGCAGAGGTCTGTTGTCTGTTCCAGAGTCTCGACTGAAAACTAAAGGGGACAGAGCGTTTGCTGTCAGGGCCCCGAGGCTCTGGAACAGCCTGCCCGAGGAAATCAGGTCGGCTGAGTCAGTGAACTCTTTTAAGTCCCTTCTTAAAACATACTTTTATAGGAGAGCTTTTCCCGATCTTATTTGACTTTATTTGATCCCTTTTATTTTATTGTATTTTACTAATTTTATATTAAATTTTCATGCTCTTATCTTTTTTTGTATTATTCTTTACACTTGTTAAAGCACTTTGTAACTTGTTTTTGAAAAGTGCTCTACAAATAAGGATTATTATTATATTAAAAGGACAACTTACATCTTATCTAGTCAATTTTTTTCTTATGTTAATAGTTCATCTTGATCATTTTCTATCTCTTTTAACCATGTATTCAACTTCGCACTTGAGAAGACATGCTTCCATTAAAGTATCCTTGAGATAATTAAAAGTGAGCAGTTTTGTCCCTCCCACTCCCCCAAAAACACTTAGCAGTGCCTCCCAAATAACAATATATTTTTCACAGATCTGCATGATTCATGTGAGTCTCATTTGAAGGTTAGAAAATCCTGAATCCTGATTAATCCGGAAAAAAATCACACGACACAGACACGTGACACATTTGTCAACGATTGGTAAGGACACCGTGGTGTTGTTGTTGTTGTTGTTACAACCCATGATTGTAATTACCCCTCTTTCTCTGGCTGTATAATGAATAATTTACTTAACCTCAAGAAACTTTGGAATGATATAATTATGTGTAAGTGTGAAATGCAATAACAGTGTTGAGAGCATTTTACAATGGAGTTTTATTTTCTTTATCGAGTACAGCAGCTGTGGTCACTGTGAAATTATCATGGTTATAAAAGCTGTCATAACATAAACCACTCTGGCAGCATAATCCGCTTCACCACTGTTTGTCAGCATGCTGACTATGTTCCTCATTTTTGCTAAAATACCTACTTACACAGTTTTTTTTGTATTTTTCCTGGGTGGCTCAGCTTATGTTGGTTGCCTATAACCAACAAAAGCAAATGAAGCTGTAATATAAAGTAGTTCATGAGCCAAAAGTGTCTCTTACCTTCCATTTGGATTTGGCAAAGTTTTTCTCCATCTGTTCACAGACAGACTCATAAATGTCGAGGTCTTTCGCTGTGTTTTCTGCTATCCTGCAATCAAGTTGATGACTTTAGTTAATTTGGAAAACAAAAAACACGGTGGCTATGTGTGTTTGTGGATGTGGGTATGTGTGTTTGTGACAAAGAAAAACGACTAACCAGGGGTGTTGGAGTGCCTGTTCGGTGAGGAAGCGTTTTGAGGGATTTTTCTCCATCATATTCCTGATGAAGTCTTTGGCTGTTGAAACATGTCAGAGACAGCTGTTGACCTACTGCAAGCTTACAATAACACACTTTTTAACCAAACTTTAAACTTAATTGCACCTAAGCAAACAAAATAAAAGGCTAATAAATCAATAACTCATCTATCAACTGAGTTAAAAGGAGCTTAAATAAGAGCAGAAGACAGATACAGCCCCGTCGACGTGGCAAAAAGGGGAATGATTATTTTTTCACCATAATTTCATTCATAACTAACACATTGACAGAATGTATGACTATTTTGGTCATGGGATTCATACACTTTCTGTAAAAATAAAAAGGCAAAATCCTATTAGATCAGCAATCCTGGGACAAAAGCTTATCAAATTGGGGTCCTTGGTCTAATTTTGCCAGTTTTGGGGTCCTAGACGTGAAAGAGTTTGAGAACCATTGATGTAAAGTCTAAAGTGCTGTGCAGAATAACAGAAAATCTCATGCTTGTGTGTTTAAGGGATGTTGATCATTGGATAACAGCTGGTATAAAGTAGCATAATGTTAAACAAGTGTCTTATCCTTGACCTTCATGCAAATGACATAACCTTCTGTATTCAGTAATACGTTCTTCTGTTTAAAGTTCTTACAAAACCAATTCATCTACCACAATGCTCCGTCAAATTCAAATTCAAATTCGGTTTATTAGCATGAATGTCAATGTAACAGTATTGCCAAAGCTTCAAGTAAAATACAAAAGAACAATTCAATTCATACAATAAATCACTGACCATCATGCTAAGGCAAGACAAACATAACCTTTTTATTGTCCCCTCTTTGAAACACAACTCCATTTAATTGCCTCTTCACAGCTAGCATGGCATTTACTTTTACTTTTTATGTTTTGGTAAGGTTTTTTTCAAAAGATTTATTTTCATCAGCCTTTTAACATCTCTTCAGCACTTTTCAAAATCAGCACGTTTTTCACTATCTAAGCATTAGCATTTTTTGTTCTGCCTGTCCTTCACAGAATTCAATTCTATGTCATATCTTTAGGTTGGGAGACTGTTTGGCATGTCTCCTAATGCCAACTAATTTAATCCCTCAGGCAGGAGAGAACTGTCCTTGCCCATTTAGCATCCACAGTAATCATATATTACCTAATCCGAAACCGATACTAACCACCATAGCTGTCCTCAGGAGGTATGCTGGTCTATATTAGGTTAAGCGCTAGGGATATATAAACAAATCCTGATCTGTACTTTAGCTAACACAGAGTAATGGCACTATCTTTGTCACATTTTACGAAACAACCAGCGCTAGATTTAACTCTTTTGAGGCCCATTACAAAACAAGTCTTAACACGTTAGAAGAATATTTCAATATAAGATCTTGTCGTGTACGATAACATGACACTTCTTGCTTACATCACTTCCTTTTAATAATCGTAACAGTGAAATGCATTTTCACTGCTACTAACTACTTTAACCTCATAGGTGTTACATAGACAACTGCAGGTGCTCAGAATTTTGAAAAAGGAGTCTTTAAGGCAGTAACATGTGCAAACTTTTAAAGCTCCTCTCTCAAGCCCTCATGTCTCACTTCAAGCCGAGTATAATGGCTGTCAAGTCTTATGTAAGTCAAGACACTTCAAGTCAAGTCAAGTTTTAATTCAAATCCGAAGACATTATTTTGTTTTAAGTTTGCTTTAAGTCAATGATTGAAAAGGAATAAAAAATGCTGACCCATTGAACACGAAGTGCAGGGGTCTTAGATGTCTAAGCATTTTTGAAGATTGAGATGTGGAATGTTTTGTGCTGTTTCCATACCTGACTCAGAGATGTTATCCCAGAAGGGTGAATGAAAGGCATAATCAGCTCTCATGATCTTTGAAAACAGACGAGTATCGTTCTCTTCAAAGAAGGGAGGGTAGCCACAGAGCCTGCAACACAGAAACAACAGGCTAACTCAGTTAATCCCTCGACATCCACCTTTTGTAAATCCCTTACATCTAAATTCTGGATCAATTTTAGATGACACCATCTATGGGGCAGTGTTTTGTTCATGGTTACAGCAACTGAGTGTTAACTAAATATGCTATAACAGATCTAGAGCCTCAGTCCATTAACACTGGCTGAGGCTCATGGGCACTGTAGTATATAGTTACATTCCACAAGCCAAAATTAAATTAGAGAACAGAAATGTACTCACAGGATGTAAGTGATAACTCCAATGGACCAGCAGTCCACTGCTTTGCTGTAGGGTTTCTGAGCCAAAACCTCAGGGGCTGTAGAATGACACACAGTGGGTATCATGCAGGTATCAGAGCGAGAAGAAGTGCTGTTCGAAATGGATTACTTTTACCATGGCTATCCTTTTCTACATTGTTGGGATTTAAAATGTCACTATAATCACCTCTATTTATGACCGCCTGCTGCAAAGCCACTATTATCCCATAAAGTTTGACATTTTCTGTAAACTACTAGATGATTTAGTCTTAAATATTTAATCTCTTCACATGGAAATGTTCAATATCCTAAATGATATTACTAATCATTTCAACCTAAACAACGCCTATAGTACTGCAGTTCCAATAGCGTTTAAATATGACTGACAAAACCATCAATGTGTCATTATGACAATGTGTACTTTTTAGCTGCTAATACATTTTAGTATTTCATACATTTGAACATTTAGTATGATCTATTCCCTCTGATTATACAGACATGGGCTCTGGACGCCTTGGCCGTGTACTTCGAATAGGGCTTGATTAATGCTGTTATCAAGCTAAAATAATCCTTTTATTCTCATCAAGTTAATGTCTTTTTTTGAAAACAGTTTGAGGATTGATTTGATTTGAACAACTGGGGTCTATTATTTTCAAATAATGGCAAAAAAGTAGAGTGTTAAAACCAAATTCATCATTTCTATGATCCTGATCATGGGCTTGCAGGTAAATGAGATAGGTGTGTTCGGTACCTTCCCAACATGCGCTCGGGCAATAGATTAATGATCTATATTACATTTTGGACTTTGGACATGGTTATGTCCAATTGTCTGCTGTTTCCTACATTATCAATTGCTTATGTCCTGCTGATCACAATGAATTATACCAGTCTCTGTTGAATAATCTTACCCCCAAAACATCTAGGCATAAGTTCATTGCATTAGTCACTACATGCAAAATGGTTGAACACGTTATCAAAAATCAAAGTTAAAATACTTTCTATACTATCCTTTGCCTACAAGTATATACTGTAGCTAAACGAAATGTTGTTTCTTAAGGACCATAAACAAAGTAAGAATATAAAACAACAACATCAAAATAGCAACACTCAGACCAATACTCAATACCAGTAAACAGTAACAATACACAGTGAGAAGTAATATTATGAATATTACGAATGTTGTTTTCACCTGACAACGGGATAATTAATTTTCTCGTGATCACGAGATAACAAACCATAGCGTTTCTTTAGGATAATTTCAAAGCAATTACCAGTGTCACTGGTTAGTTCAGTTGGTAGAGCACAGGGCTCAGTTTGATTAGTTTGATTCCTGTTCATGTTGACTGTCTTTCTCTTCTTATGTGTGTATTATCCTCTTCAGCAAAATTGTTATGAAGAGATTGAGGGGAATCCAATTACACATTTCATTACGGCTATTTCAAAGGTTCCGAAAGCCGTCAGGAAATGTGTAACATTACATGGATTCCCCTGAATGAGAAGGAATTTCCTCTGCCTGGGAATGATGGGGAAATGAAAAGTCCATAGGTTGATGGATGTGGACCAAGAACGCACAGTCCAGCACGTGCTTTACAGTAATGTGAGCATGTGAAACAGTCTTTTCATAAGAACTTTGTTGAAGAGGATTATGAAAATATAAAACATAAATAAAACAATTTAGTCTTCAGTGAGAATTGAGCACACAACCTTAAACCTAAAAGTCCTATGCTCTACCAAGTGAGCTAACCAACAACACAACAAACCTCACTGTAATTACCATTATGGTTATCTCAAAATCACAAGAAAATGTAAAAATGTTTTTTATTAGAATTTTTTTGTAAATGTGTCCTGAATTGATGAAGATATCTGTTGTGATATGGAAGAGAATCTGTGATACAACAGGCAACAGTCCTGTCTCTTTCTTTTCTGTTTTACAATGACATGCTCTGTCTACAAATTACGGTACCAACAGTAAAAGCTGTGATTCCTGTCCTCTCTCCTGCAATGTATAACTTTGTACTGGTGAAAGTGATATATGCCAGACAAAAAAAGTGCAGCCTTGTGCATTTTCAATCATTGTCATCAAAATCTTAGCCAAAGTGTACATCAGAAAATACTTACAGAGCACACTGTTATATTGACCAGATGGCTAAACATTTTGACTTGCTTGTTCATAAACAAGACACAAGGACTTGTTGTTCTGATGGCACTGGCAAGTTCAATGACATAAAGATTTTCTCTTGAGAGATAGACTAAGGATTTTGAGCAAGTTATGGGCTTTTGCAGGTAATCCACTGTGTTGTGCTGTTTGTACTACCTGTTTTGAGAAATGCAAATACTGTTTTGCAAATGTTAAGGATGATTCGAGAAATGCACCAAAGCGACTGAGAAAAAGTTAAGCTCATTTTATTTAAGTTTATACATTGTTACGGCAGTAATTTTGCTCTGCATTGTGCTCTACAATGTCTCCACTGTTTCCACACCTTCATCACTGTTAAAGATCAGATATCAACGGTAAATATGGTCAGACTGTGACATAATTGATGAGGGGTGCCAGTGGACATGCAAGAAACTAATTATACCAACAGGGATTTTACAAAGACCTGCACGTTCTCTTCTAAAATAATAAATCATGTCAGAAAGCGAGCCATTTGTATTTCAAAATGATTTCATGTATGGCATCCAGCTAACTGTCGATAAGCCTGCTCTTTTGCCGGTTTTGCTTTAAGGACTCTGATGACCGATCCTGATGAACTTCAAACCAACTTCGAAGAACCAAAACATCCAGACTCGTGTCAAATAGTCAACATTCAGATCTGGATAACTCGGTTATCCACCCAGGAGGAACAGGGTCCTTTTATGATAACTGATTGACTACTCTTTTGCATTAGCATGCACACTGTATAACATTACTTGATTTCTTTCACAATTCATTTTCTTTGTGTCATCACCACAAATTTTATATCAGGTATAGA